AACTCAATGGGAAAGGAAAGGATTCTGATTTCAACCGTTGCGTATATTAGCTGCTACATATGAATCAAGATGCTATGACCGAAAACATTTGATTGACAGATGACCGTTGATATATGATTAGCCGAATTTAGGTGTTCAGGCTGATGTAGAACTAACTGGCCTGCAGAAGATAATGAAAAACAACACAGATTTTAAGACAGGATTTTTTTTTTTAAATAGAAATTTTCTAACTTTTGGGACAATGTGGTCTGATAAAGAGAACATTTATATACATGTTTAAGCCAGAATGATTTGTACTTTAAATATGATTTCCCTACGGCTTTAAGTCGCCTGCTTCCAGTGGTCCTCATCAGACCGCTTAAAGCTGGGAGTAAAGAATCTGCAGAAACTCGGTTCCTGCGTGTCTTTATGAGCGCTGGAGTGTCACTAAAAGGAGGTTTTCTGTCCTATTAACCAGAACCCCTCAGGCTTCTCCACTTCAGCAGCTCCTCTGGGTTCTCCATGTAGGTCAGTGGCTAACTGGATCAGAACCAACGTGGCTCATTTACGGGACGGAGGCTCAGACTGTAGCAGTAGAGAAAACTATGAAAGCAGATTGTTTCTTAAACAATAACTGTTTGCTAATCAGAGGTCAGAACAGCGGTTCTGCCATGTTCTACCTGATAATGGTGGCAGAACAGTTAGAAGCTCCTGATTTAAAAGGAACAATGCGTTCAGAAATCAAACCAGAATCAAAGGACGACCCAACAAGTTTAGACGGTTCAGCTGCTGGTCCACAGAAGCAGCGGGGCAGAGAGCTGCATGCTGCACTGTTTCAGACTGTTTCAGACTGGTGCTTCTTTACATATAGCTCCCTGCGAGCTATACATATAGCTCGCAGGGAGGAGAGAAAGGAGGCCTCTGATTGGTCAGTTCTACATCCGCTCTACACTATGCATATTTCCTGTTTGGTTCCTAATGGCAGAAACTCTGGCCGTAGTGCCGTCCACAGCGCCTGGCTCACCTCGGACACTATCCCAGACACCGTGCAGGATGCTAGTTTGTAGCTCTGTGCGACGGTCTGTTGGTTTGAACCCGAAGCACAAACTCGCAGCGCCGCGGCCAGTCTTTGGGGAACACTCACGGGGGAACTGTGTGTCGTCTGGTGTTGGATGAGGGGTTGTAGACGGCGAACAGCTCATCAAACCGGCACATTGACGCCCACAATCCTAGCTAGTACCTGATTGTCCCTCTGGCAGATTGATATTGGGTATAAATCAAAAATATCTGCGTCATACCCGCAACACACTGCTGCGGGACGATAACCTGCCCTTTAATCTGCTGATGAGTTTATTAAACTCTGTGTCTTTTCACACAGAAACGTCCCACAACCAGAACCTGTCTCACCGTGTGATAACAGTTCAGTTCGGTTAGAGGAGTCCGGATCAGGAGGCTCTGGTAGCTGAAGAGAAGCTGGTTCTGGGACGTGGATCATGGCGGACCAGCAGGAGTTCTGAACAAACATGCTAACCTGAGAATTGATCCCTGAAACCAGACCAGTCCCAGCGTCCCCAGGACCCGGTTCTGTAGTCATCAGCTCTCTGAGGAGGAGGATGATGAAACTTCCTGTTTACTTAAAGGCTCTACTTGATGAAAGGAGCCGACCGACCGCAGGCCACAGAGTTCTATCAGACGCTGAACTTTGAACCCAGTTTACAGCGTGGCTGGTTTTAGACCAGCAACAGAAACGGCGAAGAAACACTTTTCTACAGCAGAGGGTAGAGTCAGCTACTGAACCGGACCAGCACCAGTCCAGAACCGGGACAGCCTGACGCACAGCTGCAAAGAAAAGCCTCAGAGGGTCTGAAGAACTGATCATCCAGACCAGCTTAAGGAAAATCAATTCAGTCTGAAATATGTAGAGAAATAAATACATTTCAGTTCAGAGTCAGAAAACTGCTCAATGGAACCAGTTCAGTCGTACTTTAGTATCTATCAATCTGTCAACGCAGTACAATGAATCAGTTCAGTGTAAAGAACCAGTTCATTGAGAGATCTGTGAAGAAAGAAAAGAACCAGTTCGGAAGAACCAGTTCATTGAGAGATCCGTGAAGACAGAAAAGAACCAGTTCAGA